TGTCTTAGTGAACAGCTCTGGAGGAGAGGGACGGTTGCCCTCCCTGTTTTCAGCCGTATTTATAGAACTAGGTAAAGGTCAAGCAGAGAGTGATGTATGGTTAAGCTGTGCATCCTATCAGCCTATGCATTTCCTAATCTAGCCGTAAAGTGGAGATTACTCGTGTGAGGGTACAAATAGTGGGTTTCTTCTCTCACAGCTTAGTGGGAAATTCTCCCAGGTGGCGGCCACCAGGCCCTTCCAGCAGTGCTGCTTCCTGTCCAGTAATCTTCTTGTCCCAGGGAACTGTAATGAATGTCTTCATCTGTCTCCTGGTCAGTTTTTCGGTCTGTCTACAGACAGGAAATTTGAAGATCTTTTCCTCTGGGGAACACATTCCAGCACATGGCATCTGTCTTCCCCCCCCCATCTTCGCCTCTGTTTGCTTGTTTAATCTTCTCTTTGTCAGTTTCCATGTGCTGTGGTGGCTTTAGTATTGCTGTGACGTTACAAGCTATGCCTCTGGTATTTAAAATACCAGTAGAGCCATGAGGGGTGTGTGTGTGTGTGTGTGTGTGTGTGTGTGTAGACACACATAAAATTTCCAACAGAGCTTCTAGAACAGGAAGCAAGCCTGGCAATCCACCTCTGAAATCCTGAGCCCTCTAATGCCAGGCACAGATGGTGGAGCTGTATTGTGGACAGTGCTAGGAGCCTAGGAGGAGTAAAGACACTCAGAGACAATGTGGGAAGTGCTCCCTCCTCACGTTACCCACGAGGGTGGAGTGACGCTTTCACACAAGGAAGGACGTGAATTGCTTGTGTACAACTTTGATGAGTAGAGGGCTGGATGGCTCAACACGGGCGATTGCGCCGAGTATACCGCCAGAGTTCATCAAACCTGAAAAGATGATGTTTGCCCATTTTCCCACAGAGCAGCTGGTGGATTCGAACCATGTGCCTTTGAGATTGCAGCGCAGCTTCTTGCCATGAGGCCACCAATGCTGCCTTATAAAAGCCAACCAAACAAAAACCCTACTAGATGGATTTATATCCTCATCTGAATTTTTAAAACCTGTGCTTTTAAATACACTTCCACAAAAAGTATATAATACACTTAATTTTTAAAAGCCTTAGATTTACAGGAAAATTGGACTGACGGTACAGATTCACATGCGCAGCTCCCGGTTTGTCCAGGACTTGACGTCGTCCAGTAGAGCCAGTGTGTGATACAATTACGGGTACATCACAGATCGTTACTACTAACTAAAGCCTGCTGTGTTCGGATCGCCTGGTTTGCCCTGGAGTCCTTTTTGCACTGTAGCGGTCAGGACACCTTCCTAGGCTCCTCGATGGTGACTGTGGTGACAGAGAAGTCTGAGGTGCTGGGGGGGTGGCGGCATCTGTAGAAATCTCTATTAGGATGTGTCCCCAGGGCGTCAGGCTCTGCTCCCACAGCCACTGCAGGACATTGAGCTCCACAGAGCCGGTGCCCGCTCAGAGACAGTGCCTGGCCAGGCAGAACCCAACCGCAAGTGCACTGAGGGACTCTGTGCCGCACGGCTGAGAAATAACGAAACGTGGCAAAGGAGATCCTGAGCCACCCAGGGGCATCGGCATTGTAGGTGTTTTCCGTGCAAACCAGCCGAGAACAGCACAGAAAGCAGCCCCAGCATCAAAGCTTCTGTAAGAATTCCTCAGAGAGGTGGAAGACCATGTCTGTTAAAGAAAAAGTGAATGTGAAGACATGGCAAAGGTGGACAGGACAGGACCCTTCAGAGAGAAGAGAGGAATGGGAGGGGAGAGGAGAGGAGAAGAGAAAAGAGAGAGACAGAGAGAGATGAGAGAGACAGACAGACAGACACACAGAGAGGAGAGAGAGGAGAGGAGAGAGGAGGAGAGGGGAAGGGAGGGGAGGAGAGCGGAGGAGAGGAGAGGAGAGGAGAGGAGAGGAGAGGAGAGGGAGAAAAGAAAGCCTGCATCCCTCCTGAGGGTGAAACAAAAAAGAAGTTCAAAGATCCCGTAGCCCCAAGAGGCCCCCTTCGGTCTTTTGCTTGTTTTGTTCTGCATATCGCCCCAAAATCAAAGGGGAGCACCCCGGGTCTTTCCCTTGTTGATGCTGTGAAGAAGCTGGGAGAGATGTGGAACGACACCACTGCTGATGCCCAGCTGCCCTGTTAGAAGGCTGCAGAGCTGAAGATGTCCAGGCAGGAGGGCTGCACACAGGGCTGAAGGCAAGCCCGCTGCAGCCAGAGAGGGGCTGTCAGGCCGAGAAAAGCGAGGAGGAGGAGGAGGAAGACGGTGAGGAACAAGGAGGCTGCAGCGCAGGGTTTTCTGGTCGATAAAGCTTTAACTCCCTGCACACAATTCACTCCTTTAAAAGAAAAAAAAAAGTCTGCATGTAGGGCTGTGTAAGGTTTGTTTTTAGAATGTACATGACCTTTTTAGTGTGGTTAACTCACTGCTGACCGTGCCGATAGCCCTGTCCTGGAGGTATTTCCAATAGCTACTAACCTTGCCTGAACAGTACAGAGATTGTAAATTTGTAATGGAAATCTAAAGCAGATTCCTGTTGGTGCACAAATTAGTTACATATGGGGGGGGCTTTTTCATCCTGCAGCTTACACAAAACAATTGCTTTGTTAACTCTGTAATTGCAAAAAAAACCCGAAAAACAAAAAAAAACGTTGCAGCTGTTTTGTTGACATTCTGAATGCTTCTAATACAATTTTTTAAATTTTTTAATAAAAAGAATGTGCCCTCAGACTTCAGACTGACCCTCAGACCCCAGCCCAGCAAGGCTCTCTCCTGGCTTGAAGGATGCACTCACTGGGTGAAATCCCTTTGGACCTGACCCACAAGGATCTCGTTCATGGGCTTGGCAAGCCTCAGACAAGCCTCAGACCCACAGAGCCGCCCTCAGTCTGCCGGCCCGTGTGTCTCTAGCAGTGGCTGTGCTGAGGCCACCTTCCCATGGCACTCAGCACCTCACACGGCCCGCTGGCTCAGCTCTCACCGCAGTACAGCGGGCACACTATCCAGGCTAGGGGATCCTGGAGGATGCTGGGGTGGGCTCCTGCCCAAAGCCCACAGTCCCAGAGTCCTGGCTGTGGCCCTCCTGGAGGGACAGGAGAGCTGAGAGGCTAGGCTGCTCTCTGGGGACAGTTTTTCCATCTCCAGCTTGTGGCCACCTCCCCAGACTGTGTCCCCTGGTGTATGTGCAGTGCCTGGGACCCCCCTGCCTGAAGCTTACTCACCTGTGATGGAAGCGCAGGTGCACCGGGTCCTTGACCTGGCCGGCAAAACAACCCAGAAGTCAACCAGGCTGCACCCCAAATGCACCTCTGTATTTAGTGAGCCTGTAAGTGACTGTCCAGGACTGAACTGTGCCCCCAGAATGCACAACGAGAAAACAATTTGAGAGGCCAGACTCTGAAGAATGTGGCATCGGGACTGAAGCAAGACTCCTCAAAACCTGCCTGGTGCAGCTGATACAACCTGACTTGCTGCATCTCAAAATCACAGAAACAAGTCCTGGTATCAACAGTCAACAACATAATGGAAAAGGACTAAAGGGAGCTCTGGTGGTCTAACGGCAAGAAGCTGCACTTCAATCCCAGAGATGAGTGGTTCAAATCCCCCAGATGCTCTGCTGGAGAAGGAGGGGCAGTCTCCTCCTGTGTCAGTCAGATCCAATTTGATGGTACACACACTCAAAATGATAAAATAAAATTAAAACAATTTTTTTAAAACTAGTTGGAAAAGGACTGAAGTTGTCAAATATTTTGTTTTGCTTGTTAGCTGCTGTCAAGAAATCAAAAGATGCATTGCACTGGGAAAACGTCCTGCCAGGGACCTCTTTAAAATGGTAAAGACAGAGGACATTGGTGTAAGGACTGATGCGCCGGACCCGAGCCGTGGCATTTCAGTCACTTCCTGTGTCTCTGAAAGATGGACAGTGAGAAAGGATGACCAAAGAAGACTCAGTGGCTTTCAGTGGTGATGCTGGAGAAGAGAACACCTCACGGACTGCAGGAGAACGAAGTGGACAAAGTGGACTAGGGCGCTCCTTGGAGGTCAGGGTGGGACAGGTCACCCTACTCCGGGCACGCCCTCAGGAGGGGTCAGTCCTGGGGAAGAAGTCATGCTGGGGAGGGTGGAGGGTCAGAGGCAGAGAGGAAGACCCTTAGCAAGATGGACTGACGATGACCCTGCCAACGGGCTTGAGCCCGGAGATGACGAGGATGGGGATGCAGGAAAGGGCGAGGCTGGCCCTGGTGCCCACAGTGCCCGCAGCGCTGCACGGCCCCGGACACACCGCTCAGCACCCAGCGGTCAGTTTCTGCTTACTGAAGGCGCCCCCTGGTGGCGTCCTGCGAGAGCGGCATTATCTGGGGGCCACCTTTCAGAAGGTTAACTGTCAGGTGAGGCTGGGGAGGGAAGCAGCTGTAGACCTCGCTTAGAAAGTGCCCACTGCCCAGCCCCTGTGTGCTGAGTGGGGGGAACCCCAGAGGGTCCCCAGCAGCCTCAGCATTTCCAAGAAGTGGCCTGGTCAAGGGTCCTTGGGTGCCCCTTCTCTTTACTGGCCTGCAGGTCGGAGGGTCAGTGAGCAGAACGCCTCATTGTCAAAGAAACACTTCCGCAGGGTGGAGATCTTTTCTTTTCTTTTTTATTATTTAAAAAAAAATATTTTACAAAATAATATCATTCATCTTATATTTCTTGCTTATTTTCCTTTTTTAAAAAAATTAATAAAAAAGTCACTTTATAAAATAGTACAAAAAGGCAGGAGATGCAGGGTGGGCTGGGGGACTTCTGGGCGGAGGAATCCAGTGCTTCTGCCCTTGCCTTTCAGGTGAGAGGCTGAGGGAGAGAAGGGGAGGAGGGAGGGCCACCAGGCCACAGCTGGGCCAAGCAGAACCCTGGAGGCACCTGGGACAGGTGCGTGGCAGGAGGCAGCAGTCCTGGGCCTGGAACGGTGGGCCTGGGGCGTGGGGGCCTGTGTGCTGTGTGTGCAGGGTCCTAGCTTCCACTGCTCAGCATACCCAGCAACTTGCTGGGCTCCAGGCCCTGCTGCTGGGCCACGGTCTTCACGTCGAAGCCCATGTGCATGAGGAACTGGGCCACGTTCATCTCCTGGCCCGTGAACTGGTCCCGGATGGTGGGGCACGAGGGGTTGCAGTGCGGCCAGGGGCAGCTGTCCACCAGGTGGATGGGGCAGCCCTTCAGAGGGGCCCTGCTGGCCTTGTGGCTGTCCTGCAGGCTCCGGTCCCAGCAGTGCAGCGCACGTGGTAGGGAAGTGCCCTTTACCTGGACATCTGTCCAGTGGCTGCGGGCAGAGAGCAGGAGCAGGGTCATGTGGGAGCCGCCTCTGGAAGGGGTGCGGACCAGGGGAGCAGGTGGGTCCAGATGCAAGTACATACCTTCGGATGATGACCTCATGGGAGAGGCAGGCAGGCGCAAAGCTGGCCCTAAAGGGGGCAGGAGGAGCGCTGCGTGAGCCCCGCCCCCCAGCCCGCTGCCTCTGTCCTTCCGCAGGCCACTTGAGTCCCAGCCCCTCCCCAGCCTGCAAACAAAGCAGCCTCTCTCCCTGGCTCTCCAGTCCCCCCTCCACTGGTGGCCAGAGTGACGCGTGTCCTGATCGCTGTAGAGGTGGTTGCACTCCAAATGGCCTCCTGTCTCCGGGATTTTTAAAGCCCTCTCTGAATGTGCACAGGGAGGGCGCGTCACTCACGCCACGTCCTTGAGCGTGTCCCGAAGCTGGCGGCCCAGGTCCTGGATGTACAGCCACTGGCCTTCCTGCACCGGCTGCCCTGTGAGGTGCACGTTGTCCACCGTGAGCTGGGCCTCATCAAACAGCCACTGCACCACGAACACCGGGCCTGCAGAGACACAGCTCAGCCCCAGGCCCCCTAGCTCAGCCAAGCGTCCCATTGGATTCCCTCCCTGGAACACCCTAAGCCAGCCTCAGTCGGATCTAAGGGGCTTGCTGTGACCTCACTGGGGGCTGATCCCTGTTTAATGGGCCTGTACCATCACATAGGAGCCACAGCTGGGAATGGCTGGACCCGAGGCCCCAAGCTGCGTGTGCTTGCTCCATTGTGTCCATCTTCCTGGCCAGAGCAACCGAGCAGGCCTGGCCTGCGGGCACCAAGCGCTGCGGCAATGCTGAGGCCAGGAGAATACAGGGCAGCTGAGGCAATGTCCCTCAATGTGTCATCTGACCCCTGCCCTGGGAAAAGACCCAGGTCCCCCATCCCCTGCTGGCTGACTGCACGGGCATGAGGGCCTATCGGCTCTGCGTCTGGATTCTCAGAAGAGATACCTGTGTACCTCTGTACTCCAGGTCTCCACTTAGTGCAGTCACCCGACTGCTCAGCACCCCTGGCCCCCCACTCAGCACAGACACCCTGCTGCCCTGCACCCCTGGGCCCCTCACTCAGTGCAGACACCCCACTGTCCTGCACCCAGCCCCTTCTCAGCACAGAATATGGTAAACACCCTGTTCTACATCTTCACTGTGTAAGAGGCCTGATAGACATTTCACTTCTCTGCACCTCCAGATGCCCACTCACAGTGCAAGGTATGCTGGACCTCCCACTGCCCTGCACCCAAACTGTCCTTGAACCCCCCCACTGCCACACTGCACCTCCCTCTTCCCTCACACCCTTCCCTGTCCCCCCACCCTGACCCACCTCTCTGTTGTCCTCCACTGCTCAATAACCCTCCATTGCTCCATACTGTCCACTGCCCACACCCCCACTGCCCTGCACCCCACTCACAGCGCAGGGTAGGGTAGACTTTGTAGCCAAAGAAGCAGTTCCACTCCTCACCCTCCTTGAACTGGCGCCGGCAGCGCTCCGGGACAATCCCTTTCCAGTACCTGGGACCACATGTAGGTGTCAGACTGTGCAGGCCCCCCACAGGGGCCACCATCTTGACGCTCAGCACACGCCGCGGGCAGGGCCCTGAAGAGGCCTAGTCCTGAGCCCCCCAGGGGACGGGCACCTGACACCCCTGCGGATGGCTTCAGTGGGCGCGCAGGTGACCGTGTCCACACAGTCTGTTCGGCGGTACTGCTTGTTGTCCAGAAACCAGCCAGAGTCGGCCAGGCCTCGCACCTGGATGGCCGGGTAACCCAAGTCCTCCAGCTGCTCGGCCACTCGGTCCACATTCAGCAGCACACCAGTGCCACCAGCGCTGTGGGGAAGGTCCATGGTGAGGGCAGTAGGCAGAGAGGCCAGAGCCCTTCAGCCCATGCTGGATGGTCCATACAACACCCCACAGTCCTGACCATGACCCAGGTCCTGACCACACCTGATGGTCCTGACCACACCCGAAGCTTCTGACCACACCCCATGGTCCTTACCACATCCCATGGTGCTGACCACACCCAACGTCCTGATGACACCCCACGGATCTGACCATGGCCCACAGTCCTGACCACACCCCACGGTCCTGACCATGCCCCAGGTCCGACCCAGGTCCTGACCACACCCACGGACCTGACCACACCCCACAGTCCTGACCATGACCCAGGTCCTGACCACACCCGAAGCTTCTGACCACACCCCATGGTCCTTACCACATCCCATGGTGCTGACCACACCCAACGTCCTGATGACACCTCACGGACCTGACCACAGCCCACAGTCCTGACCACACCCCACGGACCTGACCACAGCCCACAGTCCTGACCATGGCCAGCCTCCTGCCCTTCACAAGGCTCACTGCAGATGGGTGGGCGGGAATGGACTCTGAGCACTCCCCTTTCCCTCCCCTGCTCTCTGACTCAGTTTTCTCATCTGAGAATGATCTGTGTGTCTCAGGCCCCTTTGTCCACTCCCCAGACATTCTGTGACCACCCCTATCCCACGTGGGGAGGTGTTATTGAACAGGTGTGGCCCTTGCCTCACCTTGCGCCCCAGAGCCTAGTGGTCCAAGCTTCCCCCTTAACCACCGTCTCAATGAGCGCACCCACATCTTCCCTCTCGTCTGACTTCCACGGATCCTACAGCACCCGCCCACAGAGACCGCTGGTGACTGCTGCTCTCAGGAAGCAAACCTCAGAGATGCCTTAATGATGCCAGCTTCCCACTCTGGTCACCAGCTCTGGCTCCTCATCCATGCTGCCCACCCCAGGACCCACCTGCACCCCCTCCTGAGACCCATCTACTTCCAGTTCCTCCCAACTATGTCCCCATCCACAGGTCCACACAGTCATGCTGCCCACACCAGGCCCCACCTGCTCCCTGCCAGCAGCAGCACTCGGGCCCCGCTCAGCCCTCTGCCCAGGAGCTCACGGACCACCTCCTGGATGATGAGGGCACCCATGAAGGCATACTCGTCTGCACGGAGAGAGACGATGGTTGTCGAGGGCCCAGACACGGAGCAAGGCCCTGCCACCCTCAGGCGAATATGAGGAGGGGGCGTCTGGCCCCCACTGGGGAGTCTTCCTGGGGCCCTCTCTCCAGGGAGTGAAGCTAAGCAGGCGCCTGGCGGGAGGAGGTTAGGAAAGAAGTCCTGCCCCCACCCCCTTGACTTTCCCTCAGAGCGAGAAGAAGGTGGGAGCCAGGCGGAGGGTGGGGCTCACTCTTCTCAGACTTGGAGGAGGCCCCGCTCCACACGTCACTGGAGCAGTAGGGAATGAAGCTGTAACAGACAGAGAACAGGCGTGAGACCCTTCCATGACTCTCTATGACGGACCACCGCCCAGCCAGAACCGCCCCCAGGTAGGTCCTGCCCCCAGAGAAAGACCCTCTGCAGCCAGGACTAGCGTCGTGGAAGGCCACCACGGGAAGGGCCATCTCCAGGGCCAGAAACCTTACTAAGGACCACCTTCAGTAAGGGCCGCCCCCAGCAAGGACTCAGCTCCCTTCTGGGGAAGACCAGCCCGGGCCCCCAGCGACCCTGTGAGCCAAGGCCCCTCTTACACCAGGTTCGCATTCCACCAGTGTGGATTCTCTTCCGGCTGCGAGGACAGAATCCCCGTTCCTGCGAGGAGAGGGGTGTGTGCGCATGAGGGACAAGGGGGATTGGCCTTTCCCCGCAGAGGATGGACAAAGCTGTCTCAGTGAGGGGCTGGGGAAGCGGAAGCGGAGGATGGGTACAAACGGGCTCAGTGCCCCGCAGGAGGCACCCGGTGACAGATGCATGGCCTCAGACACGAGCACACACCCCCAACCCGCGCAGGCTCGCCAAAGTCAGAAGGGTCCAGGGAGAACCAAGGCCGGCCAGAGGAGCCGGCCCTGCAAGTGAAGCGGGGCGCTTCTCCCTCCCCGCGGGGCCTTCTCAGCGGCGGGCGCGCTCTGCTCACCCGTGCGGGTCCGCGGCCAGTCCTTGGAGCTCATCAGGCGCCGCATGGTGTCGTAGCGGGAGTCACAGTTCTCCCGGTTGAAGCAGTACCAGCCGCCTGCGGACAGAGGCCAGGAGCTCAGGGCCAGCGCCCAGGTACCCTCGCCCCGCCCTCCAGCAAGGGCCAGACGCACCTTCCAGGAAGAGCAGCCACCGCCTGCTGCCCTTGGACTCCTTGAGGTAGTAGCTGCGCGGGAAGGGGCGTTGGGTCACGCCGGGCTGTGCGCGCAGGCCGCTCGGCTCCAGCGCGTCCGGACACCTGTCGCCCTGCGTGCGCGCTCTGCGGCCGCACGGGGGCATCGGCGGCCCGCCCACGCGGAGATGTGGCCCCGGCGGGCGCTGGCCGGTCCTCGCGGGCCCCAGGAGGTGGCGCTCGTGGGGCGGAGCGGGCCGCGAGGGCTGAGTGGTCCGTGGAAAATCCCCACTGGCCGCCCGGTGTGGAGCGCGCCAGGGGGGTGGACCTGGGCTCTGGCTTCTCTGGCCTGTGCAGGGCTCCAGGCCGAGGGGGCCTCCTAACCTGCTACCTGCGGGCAGCTTCCCGACGGTCGTTCCGTCCTCCCACCCTATTCATCCTGCACCCACCACGGGGCTGGGGCTGGGCTGTCCTACCTTCCTACCCCTGCTGGGGTTCCATGGCCATCATGGCCCATTCCACGAGCAGCAGGGGTCAGGGGGACAACAGTGCATCTCCACCCCCTGTCACCTCCCCCGCTGGAGCAGGAGCCACTGGCCCAGGGCCGAAGGACACGCGCAGAGGGGCTGGCACAGGTGGCCCGAGAGGGGTCAATGTACGGGCTGCCTGTGGTCAAGGTCTGCAAGCGCTGCCCTACCCCGGCGAGGAGTCAGCTTGCCGCCCCCCAAGGCTGGCACCGTTGTGTGCTAGACCAGAGACTCTTCCCCAGAGGGTCCCCACGCAGAGACCAGCGGGAGGGCTGGCGCGCCCCGTGGCAGCCAGCAGGGCGCGGGCCAAGCGGCCTTACCCCGCGGGGCTCCCGTCGTTGCAGGTCACCGACGTGTTGAGAAGGAGGTGTAAGCGCAAATCCTCATTGAGCTGCTGCGCGGAGCAGGGGTACAGCGACTGCGCCAGGCTCTTGACCTGCGCCATGAAGCTGTCCATGTTGCCCTCCACGGCCGTGAAGTCCAGCGGGAAGC